AAGATCAAAATACCGTACATTGCGGGAGTAACTGATATACTAGCCAGATTTGGCACGGTACATAATGCACATGCATAATGTATGTTGGCTCATTAAACCCCCCCCCCCCCCCCCCCCACTTTGCGAAAGAGCGCAGAATTTTGGTCACCACATCTACGCCTCTATATAATGAACGAAACAGGTGGACTTCTCCACAAATCTGGCTGTCGCCTGATGAAGCTGGTTGTAATTACTGGCGAAACGTCGTACTCAGATTGTAAATGTTGTGGCCTGGCTCTCCAACACCACACCGGTGTGGCTGTACTACCTTGATGCACCCCTCTCAGGCCGATATAACACCTTGTCCTCACCAGCTTTCGCTCTCACCTGAAGACGATTGCTTGTGTTGCGATCAAAACGTCGTGATCTATTATTTTTTATTTGCGTGACTTGACCGAAAGACCCAGGAGTATACATCTCTCAGTGTTTGTTGGGTCATTTTGTTGTAAAACAGAAACTGATTCCTTTTAGGACGCTTAAAAAGAGTCACAAGTAAAATGTACCTATCATATAATTAATAATTTCTCATTAGCATACGAATTAGTTTGTCTATGATAAGTTAAGAGAAAACAGAACTCACTTGAGCAAAAGGAGAAAATAACTGAAATAATATGTAAACTTAATATTCTATGGGTCTTTCGGTAAAGCCACATAGATAGAAAAATAAAAAAAATATATCACGACATTTCGAATGCAACACAAGCAATCGTCTTCAGGTGAGAGAGAGAGAAAGCTGCTGAGACAAGGTCTTATATATGCCTGAGCTGGGTGCATCAAGGTAGGTGGGTGGAGCTAGAGATGGTCCAACCAACGGAGGTTGGGGCAGTGGTCTTTGTATTGTTAGAGATAAACTTAATAATTTACAGTCCTTTGCCAATTGACAACACAAAGATATTTCTGTGCCATGTCAGTTATGGAAGTTGTTTTGGCTATACTTCATCCCATTGGTCAGTCCAGGTTGGCAAAGGGGGGGACAAGGACTGATTTAGATATCGCCACTGATATCTGCTGTGGCCGGGTCACCGGGTTTTGTTGCGATGTGCTAATCACTGCGCCACTGCTCACCACTGCTCCCAAATAACTATAACGTTCCTCCGGTATGTTAATGGGGCTTGCTTGTTTACTCATTAACCAGGATGGCTAACAAGGCGTAAAATCTGCTCTTAGCTATGGATCAAAATGCAAATGAACTGCATTAACATCCGAGTCCGAATCCATTTGTATCTATGTATGATAGTATGTATACATGTATGATTAGTATGTATACACTTAGGTGTACAGCTTAACACTCTTGGAAATGTCATCCAGATGTATTCAGGTTATGCATGTTTGAAGAGAAAATTGGTCAGTCCTTTACCCACCTCAACCCCCGTCTAACCAGCACTGCATAGAAGCAGCAAATTGCTCGTGGTAGATGAGAAGAAGTGTGGATAAATCCACCTCTACCATCCCATTTGATTAGGGTGCAAGATGAGGTTAATAGCCTCCTGAAAGTGAGATGCTCTGCACTCGCAATGGTGTGAAGACCATCGCTCAAAGCCAAGCGGTTTTCCACTCATCTTTTATTTACAGCTCTGAGCCATTGGTGGAAATTCCACATTGCTCAGGTGGGGAAAGTATTTCCATAGGATAACCACGGTTTACTTTCCCACAATATTATTGACCCCAGAGTGATTAAGGAGCAAGTTGACCCCAGAGTGGAATTTAACTCTAGCAAACCTTTTGTAAATTCAACTGCAAACTGTGCCCTCTACCGCTTTGCCACCAATATCCGGCTGGACACTACAGGTGTCCCTTGCTTTATGTGGTAGTTGCGTTCGAAAAAAGATGGCGCACAAAGCAAAACCACACAAGACAGCTGTCTGCCGAGTAGCGCAGACAGTAAGCACACACAATGTTGTCCCACGTCCGACCGCATGGCCGCGTGAGTGAATTCAAACTGCGTTTTTAACGAATTTTGAGAAGAAAAATACGGCCGCATATATGCGACATCGCACAAACCAAACCCACACAGAACGAGGGAAACCTGTATTCGTAGATTTATCTTTATTTCTTATTAAGTATATGAACCTGTGTGTGCTTTGAATGTTACCCTATTTCAACATGAACAGGCGAACTGACTGGAGGAAGACTAAACACACAACGTTCCTGCAAATCGCACTAGCAATCCGTGCAATTGTATTTGACGGTGCTGTAGTGCCTTGGCGACAAAAATGTCTGAAGTAGTGAAATAGAAATGCTGACAAACGTGGCAGTGAGTTACTTAACTGGAATGCACTTGAGATATTATATTTATTCAAAAGTGTGTTTTATAAAAAAACATTACAGCCCAAAATGTATAAACATTAATCATATCCCAGTGCCAATGACTTTTTTTAAGGATGGCTAGCTATTTATTTGGCAGCCAAATCACATTCAATTGCATTCCAATATTCGTTGTGGTATGTGTAACAGTCTGCTTGTTGTCTCGAAATAAAAACAAGCGCAAATAAATGTGTGCTGAATGTTCAACAACTGAACAACTGCCAGGAATTCCAGTGAGGCATAGCATAGAGCAACAAGAACAATAGGTAAGTTTGAAGTCAAAAGATGGTCTTGTCAAGGAAGCACGTGCATTGTCTACATTATTTGTAATCAAAACTCAGGGTTAACTAAATGCGCTATTAAAGCAAAATCGACAAAGAAAACTTGGATACATTTAGCGAGGAACGATTAATGCCTCCTATCTCTACAATGCCATGAATTGTCACAATTCAGTCACAATGAGGACTTAACAATCCCCATTGTAACAATCGTTTTGAATCTTCTTTGGTTCTTTCGGTAAAGTCACGTAGAATGAGAATAAAATAATAAAATAAAACAATAACATTCTCACGACGTTTCGGCCACAACACAAGTGGCCTTCTTCAGGTGAAAGGAACAAACCTGTCGAGACGACAGGTTTGTGACAGGTTTGTGACCTGTCGTGACTTTACCGAAAGAACCAAAGAAGATGAAGCCTTACAGTCACGAAAGCTTTAAATCGAAATCATGTTGAATGTTAGCTCCTCCAGTGGCTCTAGGGGTGACATGAACGCATTCATAAAACCCACACAAATAAAAAAATCGTACTCTCAAAGGATTGTACGCATGTGTTGTGAGCTTACGAATCAATATAAACCAATCATTTTAAGCATCATTTCAACAATAAACATTAATAATTAGGTCGGTATTGTTGTTATGACAAATATAGACAACTCTAAAACTCTTTGGTTCTTTCGGTAAAGTCACGTAGAAAATGAAATCAAATAATAATAGAATACGACGTTTCGGTTGCAACACAAGCAGCCATCATCAGGTAAGAATGAATGATAAAACACAGACACGGAAACAACAAAGGCAGACACACATGCGTCTCGCTCGGTGTGTCTCTGCATGTGTGTTTGCCTATGTTGTTTCAGTGTCTGTGCTTTATCATTCATTCTTACCTAATGATGGCTGCTTGTGTTGCAACCGAAACGTAGTATGCTATTATTATTTGATTTTATTTTCTACGAAAGAACCAAATAGTAATTCCTGCAGTCGCGAAAGCTTCGAATCTAGTTTGAACTCTAAAACTATTAACTGAGGATAATATTTATTTGCTGCTGAAAAGGTGCAAAAGGTACCTTCATGTCAACAGCACCACGTGTTACATGTGTGTGACGTGTCCCAACACACGTGTCACCCCTTGTGGGCCACAACTCAACAAGTTTTGAGATCACCACAGAAGCTAAGGGTCATTCAGAGGAGTGGAATAATTTTCTTGGAACAATAATAAACTATACAATTTTTTTACAATGAATCAACACTTAAAATTGTAAACAGTCAACTAACACCGTTGTTAAATACATATTAGATTTATTCCAAATGCAGCTGACATTCCCCACAAGTTTTTTTGACTGCATGGGCTGTTTGTATTTTATAAAGGGGCGTTTGTTAAAAAATGCCAAATATTATTACATAACGAGATGCAGGCACCCGGGCAGACAGATACAAGTTTTCCGTGTTTTAGCGAAAGATGGTTACAAGGCATTGTGGAGGAAAAATGATGCTCAACAAGTCTCAGCATATTGAACATACTGTATTTAAAGAGATGCCTGACCTAGCTATCAAGTAAAAAATACGACAGTGGTTATTATAGGCTACACGCGATGAAATAACAAGTGACGATACTACTCGTCAGTATTTCAAAGTCAACATATTTCCTTCTCGATTTAACAATGGAGCGATGCTCAATGTCCCATCGGTAGCTCTCAGCAAGCAGTGAAAATTCCACATTCCTATGGTAAAAGTCAATCTCTCCACAAGACGACCACTGCCACCCCTGACTGGGAAATTAATCACTCAACCTTGTAATTGTGAGGCGTGCACCCTACCCACAGAGCAACCCTACTGGAGGGTTGCTCTGTGGGCAGCACCCAACTGTATTACATACAGTAGGATACTGCTGTAACGTTCAACAGTTTAACCTAGGGACATACATTTCATTCTGGCTTGCACACCTTTCAACACACAGAAATTGTCCTTGGCTAAGACAGTACATGAGCCCTGGCCAGTATATGAACCGAGACACTTCTGTGAATCTATTATTCCTTCATCACTTCTTGTTTTAACACTCAGATGAACAGCAGCGCCTCAATGTGCAAAGAAAAAAAAACACATCTCCAGCATTCTGGCAGTACCGCTGACTTGACCACATGAAACTCCTCTAAATACCTGGTAGTCACCATCCCAGAAAAAAAAAAAACTCCACAACACAGCCACGGGGGTCGTGTGAACCCATTAAATATGTACAGTACACACGTACACGAAATTAAAAACATTGATCCTCGCACACGTGATTCAAATGCATAATTATGCATTGCCCACCTCTAATACTTTCCCTGTTACGTGACGTGGGGATTCGTTGTGCAATCCGCGCCGCGGAGAACTTTGCATACCTTGACGTGTTCACTGCGCTCCATTTTGTAGAGCAGGGCATGGTTAATGCGGAGGACGATCCAGTCAAAAAGAGCACTGTACAGCGACTTGGCCATCGAGTCCCGAGCCGTCACCGCCTGCATGACGAGACCGCGCGCGTGGGTTAGGGTAAAGAGCGGCACAACGCAAGCAGGCCGCAAGCCGGCGGCACTACAACAGGGTCTCCCGATCACTTGCAAGGGCAATGAACAAAAATAATACCAATTTCTGAAAAGTGATGCTGATTATTTTACAATGCTGTCCTGTTGTCATTCCCCCTAGCACGGTTGGCGACGTACGGTGCAAAAGAAGTCCAACATATGTACAAATGCTACAGACGGTACAAGAAGGGGAGATAACGTGTACAATTCTCATGTTGGTGGAGGGTCATTTAAGTCTGGTGGATGACTCTGTCTTCGCATTTTCCCATTAGATCCGCCAAGACCGATTACTCCGCCAGGCTCGATGGCTCTCCGCCAACTCCTGAATCATGTTCCACATGTGCCCACGTAGATATATATACAGCACAGCATATGAAAACACAGACACGAGAGCGTGTCAAAATGTTTTGTGGAAACAAAATATAGTTCAGTAATGTTGAGCTTATTTTTGAAGCTCCAACTTAATTTTCTAATTACACTGAGCATCAGGATATTATAGTGGCCTGTCTGCTTGTCATTGGGACATATTTCAATAATGTATATTCTTTGGTTCCCGCCACCTCTGGGAAATGACAAGAATGTACCAACGTGCCATCAGCAATAAAGTCGATAACAAAGACATAATTCACAAGAGTATGGCAATGAATGATGGCAATAGCCCAAGTGCTGAATTGGAAAATTATCTGCAACTAGAGAGCTTAAAGTGAGTGATTGTTCCTATGTTATTATGGTTACAGAGGTCTCCCTTGCTAAGAAATTCATCTCAATGGTCTCTCGCATTAAGGCAATGAAATGACAATAAGTCCAGCATTTTCTTTGGTTCTTTCGGTAAGGTCACGCAGAATAAGAATAAAATAATAAAATAACACAATAAAATTCTCACGACGTTTCACCTGAAGACGGCCGCTTGCGTTGTGGCCGAAACGTCGTGAGAATTTTATTGTGTTATTTTATTATTTTATTCTCATTCTATGTGACCTTACCGAAAGCACCAAAGAAGATGAATCCTTGCAGTCACGAATGCTTTAATTCGAAAAGTCCAGCATTGTAAGCTAAAGAAATTACCACAAAAAAATTCCCATCTGTGAATCTGCACATGAGTCGAAGTGTATTTTGTTCTGGAAATATTTTGACCACTCTTTAACTTATAGTTTTGAAATGTGAATTTAACACTTGTATGTCATGTACTCAGAAAAGATGAACATCACCTATGTAGAAGTTGTAAGCACAGCCTTTCACCCCGTTATTATAATTTTTTACAGAGTAAAGATGAACTGTTTTCGAAAGGACAGCACTGGAAATCCTCAAACATGAGCTGTGTCGTTACAATGTGGATTAATTTGTGTTCGTAATGTGGAGCGCCTCCCAAGTAATCTGCATATTTTTCGTGGATTGATGAAATCGTGTGGATAGTTCCTCCCATAATTTGCTGCCCATCGCATTGGCACGCATTTATTTTCGCGCAAAAATTGATCTCGCCTTCGCGGTGTCCCATGGATAGTAGGATCTGCTATATGGTCCCTCACATCAATGCATATTATTGCATTTCTATGGTTTGTATCGTAAGCCGAGAAATTTTAGAAAGATCGGTGAATCAATGCATTGTTGCACTTGTACAGCAAACTATGCATTCTACAAGACTTTTCATTGTGTTCTTTAAAAACTCATGGTTACATGCTAAATATTTCCCATGATGCTGTAAGTAAAACGTACTTAAGAATTAAACATTGTAATGAAAGCCAACTGGCAAGTCCATTAAAGAGTGAAATTCCATCAATAGGTGGAATTACATTTATTATCATAAAAGACATCAAAGTCAGTGGAAAAATGCAAAATAAATATAAAGCTCAATTTTAGAAATTGCAAGAGACATCTTAGCCCCTGTAAACTTGCACTGAAATACACAAAGCAACGCCGTCATTTATAACCTGGAACGTTTGCTACATACAATTCGTATATATTTTTTTTAATGTAAATGTATGCTCGTCATTCCTCGTCAATGTTTTAAACACACAGAGCCTTTTTTTTCCTTTGACGCCTTTTCTCAAGAGAGAAAGACACTGGCCGGGGGGGGGGGGGGACAGCTGGTCCCTGTTCCCGTAATTGCGGGGCCTCACTGCGTTCTCAATGGCCACCGACACACAAAGAACGCACCTTTTGTCACCCCGCTTTGTACAGTAAGATGCGTGCGTGGCTGCTCTCTGTTCCCACTCATCGGCTCAGGGAATATTTCATTTTGTGCTCCACAAAACAGGGCATTGTGTTCCAGGACCGGGGGTTTACAACTTAGCATTTTATGCAATAATGTTATCTAATACTGTACACGCTGCCTGGGAAGAATTTCTGCGAGAAAAAAAAGACATCGGACAAAAAAAGGCTTGTATGAAAGTAGCTAATGAAAAGGGGCATTTAAGCATATGAAATGTAACCTGGTAAGTGATTTCATCGGCTCGTACAACACAGAGGCGGTGAAGAAATAAACAACACTTTTGGCCCGTAAGTAACAAACAAGATCTGAGCATACAGAACAACACAAGCAGAGCTGAGAAGCAGAGCAGTGTGAACGGAGCTGAGTGTTCAAATCTAGAAGGAGCTGAGTGTTGCCTGGCGGTGTCCAGCACGGACTGGACTCACAGCACTGGCCTCAAACAGCACTGGCCTCACGTAGCACGAATTGGCTTCACACAGCACGGACCGGACTAACGCAGCACGGACCGGACTAACGCAGCACGGACCGGACTAACGCAGCACGGACCGGACTAACGCAGCACGGACCGGACTAACGCAGCACGGACCGGACTAACGCAGCACGGACCGGACTCGCATAACCAAACCAACAAAAGTAAATCCCTACACCGACAACAATCATAGCCGTAACATTCACACACTGAAAATGTCATTGTACAACAATTTTAAAACCCCAGGGGCTTTAAATGCAAAAAGTTCATCAGTCAAATAAAATCAACATACAGTATGTGGGAGTAAACAAAGACAGATAATGATTGATGGGTGGCAGGGCAGTGTGCCCGTACAGTATTACAGTGCCACACAGAAAGTCAATGGGTCCATTAACTCCCGCATTTGCACCTGCGCCACACAGCACTGCACCACAGGCTACTCAAAATAAAAGGTCATCTGTCACAATTACTCAGTGGCACAGCCTCGCCAAAGCAACTGTACCAGTGCCGTCAATGGACATAGCTGTTCTACCATGGCCACCATAACATTGTCATTCCTCCTCATGCCCGAGACAAAATAACTGGAAAGTCAAGTCTTTTCGGTGACCCATTGAAATGTTTCAGTTGAGGCTCAGTCCCGTGTTTTATTAAACGATGGGTCAACAAAGCCTATAAGTCTGGGCTGAGAAAACCGGAAGGTCCAGCAGAAATTTCTGCCAGCATACTTCGCTGTTGTGACTGCCAAGGATGAAAAAAAACACACACGATGTGTAAAAGGTGTAAACAGGTCAACACCCTGGAGTTATGGTGCCACCACAACACGCCATGCGTGAATAAAAAGCACTCTCTATCCCACCGCAAGCCATTCATTAAAAATACAATTGCATTCAACAGCCAAAACAGCAAAACAATGGTTCGGCTGTAATGGGAATTCTTTTACGCACGTTCTGTAAGGGATCCAGAATGCCGTGTCGCGCGATGCTTTCCAACTGGTCACCGTCACAACTAGACTGCGCTAAACACAAGCGTATTGAGAGAAAGGTGGCTCAAAACCACGAACTTCAATGCAGCCATTTCTCATCCCTGTGGGAACTACTTCATTTTCCTGGCATTATATAAACGAGACACGGACCTTAAAAAAAATCATACTATAATTACCTGGTAATTGTACATCTGCTGGAAATAAACTTTCCCACAGCTGAAGAGAAAACGTAGGCCTGAGTGTAGAGCTTGCAACAACAGCATAACAATTGCGCCTCTGTGGGTAGCGGCTGTATTTCTAAGCAGGCAATAGCCGCCTGCACTCTCAGCTCATGGGAAACATCACAACCTCCATCAGACGAGCTTCACCGTCCCACTCATAATTAAACCCGAGTAAAAAACAACAACACTGTGCATGCCCAATTCCATAAAATGCATGCAATTCAAAAGGACCCCTGCCATCCCCCTTAAAGAAGTGACATGGGCATTTTAAGGATGTTTTTCAGTCAACGACGTTATCCGCCATGTGTTAAACCAGAATTTGTATGCTCTTTGTGATGCTGGTTGCTGTCGGAATGTTACATTTTAAGTTGGCCTATTTCTGGAATGTACACGGGACTAATATGCATACTGCCACGACAACATACCACAGCCTCATCCAAATTGTGATGTGTAATCCTCAAAGATGTGGTGTTGTCCAATTTTTAGAAATGAGCAGTACACAATCAATCGGATTCGTCTGTTGCATTTCTCATTTATATATTTGGTATTCAACTTCTAAGCACCGTGTCCAGAAGCGCCAATGTCGGGTTCTTTGGTATGAATATCAACAAATTAAATTAATCACTTCTCGGTTTTTACAATTCATATTATGGACTGTATGACAGTTTGCTAAAATATTTAAAATTATTATTTGCTATTTCACAAAAAAAAATTGCGAGTCCCTGTTCTTTAAAATGTGGACAATTCACTTAACACCTTGTGCAATTTTATCTACGAACTGATGATTGACAGCAACCTTGAAAATGAACAAAGATTACTTTCAACAGGCGTGATAGAAAAAAACAGGGGTGTGGATTCCAGGGAAGATTCCAAGCTTTGTTAAACAGGGATTACACAAGCAAGCAAATGGATAAACACTGACCATCCCTGGTCTTACATGTGCGTCATTAATAATATAATACTAGGTTACACCACCCCAACACCCATGCCAGCTCCAGTTGAAATAGAACAGAGGTGCGGAAAACCTGACAAGGCAACTTCACGGTGAACTTTAAA